CTTTTGATTGGAGAGTTTAGTCCATTTGCATTTAAAGTTAATATTGGTATGTACTTGTTGCCATTTTGTTAATTGTTTTCTGGTTGTTGTTGTATTTCTTCTGTTCCTTTCTTCTTCTCTTTCCTCCTTTATGGTTTGATGACTTTCTTTAGTGCTATGCTTATATTTCTTTCTCTTTCTCTTTTGCATATTTAAAATAGGATTTTGCTTTGTGATTACCATGAAGCTTACACAACTTATACATGTAACACAATTTTAAGTTGATAACTTAAGTTTGATCCCATTTTAAAGCTCAACATTTGTATTTTCCCCTCCCCAACATTTTATGCTTTTGATATCATATTTCACATTTTTAAATTGTGTTTATCTACAAATCAGTATGATACAACCACATTATAAAAATGAAGGATAAGAATTAAATGATCATCTCAATAGTTGCAGAAAAACGTTTGACAAAATTTGACTTTGATTTAAAAACTCTCAACAAAGCAGGTATGGAGAGACTGGATCTCACCATAATAAATACCATGCAAAGCCCCTAGCTAACATACTCAGTGGTGGAAAATTGAAAGCTTTTTCTCTAAGATCAGGAATAAGACAAAGATGCCTAATCTCACCACTTTTATTCAACATAGTGTTTGAAGTCCTAGCCAGAGCAATTAGATAAGAAAAAGGAAGAAAAGACATCCAAATTGGAAGGTAAGAAGTAAAATTGTCACTATTTGCAGATGACATGATATTATAGAGAGGGAAAACTGTTAGAACTAATAAATTCAGTAAAATTACAGGATAAAAGAACAATACACAAAAATCTGTTGTTTCTATACACTAATAATGGACTATCAGAAAGAGAAATTAAGAGAACAATTCCAGGGGCACCTGGGAGGCTTACTCAGTTAAGCGTCTGCCTTCAGCTCAGGTCATGATCCCAGGGTCCTGGGATTGAGACCTGCATCAGGCTCCCTGTTTAGTGGGGAGCCTGCTTCTCCCTCTGCCCCTGCTTGTGTTGTCTCTCTGGCTGGCTCTCTCTCTCTCTCTCTCTCAAATAAATAAA